TTTAAAGTTTTCGACGCAAAATGCCAAAACGAAATTAATATTCCTTCTGGGCAAATTGCCCCTTTGGAATAATAAGAAACTAATCTAAAGCTAAACTAAACTGAGCCGAAGATATACACAATTACCTAACGTAGTTGGCTCTTAAATTAAACTAGCCAGCGAATATCAGTAGGCATGTAAAACACGGCTAAGCGTAGTGTCTTATGCGTAGTGTCGAAGTAGCCTGACGGCAAACGCGCTCCACTAAGGACTTCTAAGCTCTTCTGCTGAGTGAAGCGAAATTTCCTTTATATACCTTCCTACCTCATTTACATTCAACGCGATACTTAAAACTCATTCTGGTAGGGAGTTGGAAACAAGAATTTAAAGGAAAGGGTTTCAAAATTAAAAGTAACTGTTAGAAAATTAAAATACACCTTACAGACTGCTATATTCAGATTCATATTACAATGTTTACAATTTTGTTTCAAATCATAAATAGAGTAGAGCACATTGTCTACTAATAGATTTCCATACAAACAGACACTACGGCTCTTTTACTGTTTGTAGTAATAACGCCTGAGATGCACCCATATTTATTAAACAGTGAGTATAGTAAAACAAAACTTTATTATATACTAGTAATAAATTTTACAGCATATATACCGACAGTAAAGAACTACTTTCCTGAAAACATTTGTAATTAAGGAAAACTTTGAAAATTAACTGATCCGAAATTCTGAACCTTGATTAGAATCTAACTCTGGGAAGGTTGCGATATTGATTCGAGTGTTCGAGAGCCATCAGTTTAATTGTCAGCAATATAATAGAACATTTTGCTTTCCTAATTATAGCCCTAAATCACTTAAGAAAATTATTCAAGGAAAATAAACAAACTGCAGTTACTATCAAACACAACTTCTGAAAAGTTTTAAGATCTAATCGCAAGATGAACTCGCAAAAGAAAACTGAAAGTCGAGTAAAGTTAAGTGAATAAAAGTACATCCGCTACTGCTTAAGAATAAGGATAAAGAAAATGAGTAAAAGACGTACTTTTTGCTTTATTTATAACAACAGAGTTTTTAAATATTTCTTTAAGAGTAATCCAGTATTGTGGATATAATTTTTCTGAGTTATTTGGCTTATGAAATGCATTAAAATACGATTTTTAATAAACCGTGATGAATGTTCACCTTAAGCAGTTGTTGATTTTGCAGTACTTACAAAAATAGTTAACGGCGATAACAATTAATGACAATTAATGTTAGAAATTCTATTGTTTAGCTTTAAGTGAAATTTCATTCGTCTGTCTGGTAATAAAAAAGTTAATAATTGCAGCGCCCATATTCTATAAACTGCAATAATTTGTAATATATTATAATAGAAGTTTACTTATACTTCATTGATTTGCTTAAAATATTGACTTTTGTAAAGAGTTTCGAAACAAATCACTATTACAGAAACAAGATATAAATAAAACGATTTATTCAAGCGATACGTAATGCATGGCATTAAAATATATTTTATTCATTAAAATAATTCTGTAAATGTTCCTAATAAACAACTAGATGTGTTATAAATAAAATTCCTTTTAATTATATCCGTTGCATATAGTTATTAAAAAATAAAATAAAGATTTCATTTAATAGCAAGTGCATGAAATGACATGAAATTTTTCAGTTTTTTTTTTTAGTAATATAGCTATGTTAGAAGTGAAAAAAATTTAAGATTTTTTTATGCCACTTCCAGTGCCCACACTGGAAACTGGTTATTTGATAGAACTCGTAAAAGATAAAGATTCTATGTCTCGGGTAGTCTCAACACATGTCATGTTGCGTGTATTAATATGTGTTATAGATATAGCTGAATTATATGTCTAAAGAAAAAAATCCATTTTCCCCTAAATATAATCATTACAATGAATTCCATTATCGATAAACTTGTTAACTATGGTAAACATGTAGTTAATACTAGATCTCATATAGCATTTTGAAAAGGTTCTGCAAGAGGCGTTTCTGAGGTTATAAGGTATTTCTCCCGCCTTCCTAGCGTGCCTTCGTGGTGTGGTGATCTGCATTCTGGGCCGGTATTTCAGAGGTCCGTGGTTTAATTCCCGGCGAAGGCGTTTGCTCATTTTTCATCTTGCCTGCTTCCAAAAAAAAATACCTAATGTCTTTACAACGTGAGTGAATTTTAATACGATTTCTGTTTCAGTTTCTTTATTAACAGCTGGTAATGTATCATATGTAGAATATTGAGAACTGTTTGATAGTATTAAGCAGAATTCCGCTTTATTTACTATTGAAGTTATGCACTTCTTCTCAGTACAGAGTGTCTGAATACAAGAAATCCAAAATAATGAAACGTAGCTTCGAAAATATTTATTATATACCCTTCTGGTTTTCCTAGTTCTTCTGGTTTGGCCAGAAGTAAGCCTTCGAAGTTTTCACAACGGTTGCTAAACTATATGCGCAAATCAGATCATCTTATGAGGAAAAGAGCCGAATGGAAACATAATTTAGAGGACTATCAAACAATATTCAGCATTCTTTACAAGGCAGGTTGTATGCCTACATATGCTTATGTCCAATTCATTAGCTATTTACATTAGATGAGCTAAGTATATTGTAGGATAAGAATTGTTATGCTGTGGGTAGCTGAAATAACGTTCATTAATTCTGCAACAATGCAATATAGCAGACAACCTTCAAATATTATGGAGATAGTAAACTAAGGGTTGCAGTAGTCTGGTACGTAAAAAGAGTTCTGGAGAGTAAAGAACTTGTCGAGGCACCCTTGGTCACCAAGTTTAATTTCATTGAATTATTTGTTGTGGAGTTTTGTAGGTAGATGCAAAAATTGACGGCATCACATAAAAGATTATTTGGCAATAAATTCCACTTGCAGAAATGCAGTGACAATATTACATGAATAAAGCCGAAAGGTTCATTGGTGAAATCGTATGCTTTTTGTTAAATACTATGCACTTAATAAAGTGATGTGCTAGTTCGCTGTAAAATTTTTAATATTGAGTACATTTCTGTAAACGTTTTAATAACAAAGATAACCCCAAAGAAATAAAATAACGCTTGGATCATATGTATAGTGATTCATCTCCATCCTATTCTGTAGTGAACTAATAAGTAAAAAATATCGCGACTTTTCTCATGAATGTCGATCATTGGAGGCAATAAAATCAGAAAATATTATTCGTGCCCAGAACAAAATATTAAGTAACAGAAAATTAAAATTCAAGTAGTAATATTGGATCTATGTCAAACCTATGTTTTGCGCATTCTACTCGAAAATCTTCACATGAACAAAGAATTTGCAAGGAAGATTGCAACCCTTTAGACGATTATTATCTGTTCTCCAGGTTGAAATCTGACATTCGTGAAAAGAGTTTTAAACTAATGATGACCTGCAAAAGGCAGTTATGGATCATTTTGAAGACAAACGTTCAGATTATGTTTTCAATAGCACAGAGTTGCTCATTAAACAGTGAAAAGTGTAACGACATACAAGGAGATTATACTGAAAAATAAACTACCAAAATTTTCTCTGGTTTTTTTAGAAGTACATCAGACGGGAAACTTTTGGATTTACGAATATATGTCAAAACCATTACCTGCCATATTAAGATCAATAAAATGCAAGGCTCAAAAATACTTGAACATATTTCAAAGAACGTAGGTTGAAATCGACTATTGATTGCATGTTTATTATACTAACAACTATGTCTGTAATGGAATTCATTGCAACGAGTTCGGGAAAAAATATCATTTTCCTTTTTAAATGCTGTAAGCTTGTCGTATTCATAACAAATAATTGTTTATATATAATTTCTTTATTCTTGGCACCTTTCGTCATGACATTCTATATTTATGTGACTACATCGTTGCAGATTTCATTTTAACTCTAACGAACTAAAATAAATTTATATTATTTTCATATTATCACAACGTTAAAGCAATAAATACTCTGAATAGCTTTAAAAGTTGGTTGGTCAAAGATTGCTATTATGAGACTAACGGGTAATGCAATAAATAAAATTAGTTACATTTGAAAAAATGCAATTTTATTTAAAAGATAAAGAAACTAGGCAGTTTTTTAATATTTTAATTACATTCGCATTTTGAATAATATGCTTACTTCTAAAATTATTAATTTTAATAGACAACTATTCTGAAGTTCATTAATGTTGGATGCATATTTAATATTTGCATTCCTTTTTTTTTCTTTGTATATTTTATTTCCTCACTGCTTAATTTTATGTTATGATTTTTGCAATAATCTTGTTACTGGCAACGTGCTTTATTTACTATTAAGTTTGTGTGAGTGGCAACAGTTGTTCATGTTTATGTTTCAGTAGAATAGCGTTCTTAGCCGCACTGCGCTGCAGGCAATTTTTCTCTAAATATTTCATCTTTTAGAATAACAATAAGTTTATTATACAAAGCTGATGCTTTTTAGTTCAAGGCAACTATTTTGTTCCCCAGGTGAGGCATTTAATGGTATTTAATATATTGTTAATTATATGCTTTAGAACTGTGTTTAACGAGCTTTTAAGTACTAGGTACTGCGAATCATCTGCGTGACGTCAGAAAGATAAGCGGAAATATTTTTTGCTGCTTAAGTATCTTGTTGAAGTTATTTGTGCTTATTAATCATTATTCATGGTAATAATGACAGAATTAAGTGAATCTGATCTTAAAAGATTAAGAGGACGAACGAAATCTACCCTAACGCGGCTTCACAATAGTTTCAGTAATCAGTTAAGTTTAACGGAATTAAAAGCACGATTAGAAAGAATTGATCAATTATAATAACAGTTTCAGAATATCTGCAGCAAAACGCACAATTTTCAACAAAATCAATTGCTGTCAGCGAAACATCATTTAATAATTAAGAATATATATATACTATTTAATTTGCTTACATTGCCAAAACATCAGTAACATATGCATTGCTCGAAATGCCACTTCAAAGATGAAATTTCATAAAAATAATGTTTTTGTTAGGTCCACTGCACATAGGTCTGCCAAACTGTGAAAGATATGTAGGGCTATCAAGCACCCCAAAGCTATTTATCAACCTAAACGAGTTTGGACGTAATTCAATTTCTGGCGCCAGTTTCCGTCTCCTACTTAACAATATCAGCTGTGATGAATGACTTTAAGAAAGGGGCACAAGGAAAAAAAATCGGTAAGTCTAAAAATTCTTCACTGAATATCCAATTTAAAGCAACATTAACCTAGTCCCTCCGATTTCCAATGTATTGCTGAAAAAAAAGTGCTCATTTGAAGTTCTTTCTTTCGCTCTCTCTCCCCAATGACATTTTTTTTTTTTTTTTTTTTTTTTTGTGGAATAATTGTACTATTAAAGTGTTAGCAGTTTGATGTGAAAAATAACACCTCTTTTGTACAAAGTTTAGATGTTAACATGTACTGAATAAATAACTATTTCTTTTATAAGTAGGGTTTCATTTCTTGTTTATTAGAGCAAATACATGTGCAGTTAGCTTTCATTCTGTTAACATATGAGGTAGAGTCCAAAACTAACTTTAATCTTTTTTAACAGAACTTCTGCAATAAAATAATATTTCATCATTTTTAACGTAGTTCTCCACAGTCTTCAATATACATATGCTAATATTGAGCTCTAAATTAAACAAGAATTTTTTTTTCTGATTGACTGCGTAATCACTCATGCACCAGCCCCATTACTTCATCGTTACTGTGCAAGATCTTGCCATCTAGTGTCTTCTACAGGGGCCCAAACACATTATAATAACTCAGTAATAAACCTGGGAGGTATGCAGAGTGGCTAAAAGTCTATATTAGCGCAGTCAAAACGAAGGTCCCAAATTTTTTATATTTATCCTTGAGCTGTGCTGTCTCATGAAAGCACATATCAGAACTGATTAAATCATGAAGTTTTGACCTAATTGCAAGCTTCCAGTGGATTTCCAGTAGTTCAAAATGTAATTCTCCATTCAGTTTGCATCATCTGAATGTAATTTTTTAGGATCAAACCTTTACATCCCAAAGGATTTTTAAGCATTACTTTGTCTGCAGAAACAGCTGTATGGAAATTCTTTGGTACTGGGCGAATGATGAATATCGCTACTTCTTGATGGCTTGTTTGACCTCCAGTTGGAACTAATGTACTCCGCATACGTCGCCATTGACAATACATATAACTTGAACTACAATAGCGAAAATGTCTGGTGTGGTCACAGTGTGTTATCTATCCGAGTGAGCTGCATCAGTCAGTGTCAACATAGCATTTTTAAACTTCCTCTGATAACTCAAAAACTCCTGAAATCATTAGACAGTAAGGTCCATGTAATTTTGTCATTCTCTATATGAATATCTGTTTCTTTCTAGTTTAAACAATTCAAAACATGTAACTGCACGCTGTTTCTAGCTAGTGCATGTCTATTACGGGGCCACCATCTTGCTATAATGGCTGAAATTACATTTCCTATCAGACCGTGTACACTGTCACATGAAAAGGAACGGTATCGATATCTGTTATTTATGCAGTTCAGATCTTTGCAAAATCATTCTAAATTTTTACTACTAAATGATTTTTTTAATTCATTCTACCTTTTGCTTTATTTTTATACATATTTACAGTTTTCGCCCTTTTTCAAGGTCTCTTATATGCATTACGGTTCAAGTTCAAGAATTTTAAATAGATTTATATTACTTTGGCAGCTCAGAAATTGATTATAGGATTGTTACTACTTTAGACTATTTATTATGATTTGTACCTTCCCGTTTTCTATTTCCTCACCAGAAGTGTAAATGAGTTACAGAGTATTTAAGCTGAGGTTTTTGGATTATAAGACAGAACGTGTTACTGCCTCTCGAGGCCAGGTTACTACGTTTTGCCCGCTTTGATAAGTTTGAAATTAATCGGCTGTACGTCATAGCTGCCGTCATTTAAATTGAATGGCAGTGAGAAATTCCAGTGATCCAGCTTAGAATTAAAGCTAATTCTTCGACTGCTAGGCTTAGTTTAAATTCTAAAATTACTGTTATTTTAAGCTGCATCGCCACAAGTATTGGCTCATATTCTGAGTACGAGATGTACGTTTAAGTTCTGATTTTAATAAAAAGGTTATTTTAATCTTCTTAAGACTCTGTAATTCATTCACTTAATATATATTAGGACATACACAAACGTTTATTCTTACAAAGAAAGTAAAACTCTAAGATGTTTAGTAAAGGTTTAACTTTGGACTTCACACTGAACTAACATACTAATTTGCTTTTTTAGAGCATAATATTTCGCCTTTTAAATCCAAATTACTTAGTTTACATCTTGGAATTACTTCAATCACATTCATTTTAAAATACTTTTCGGAAGTAATATTTCTTTTTTTTCCCCTAGGTGAGTTGACTAATATATTTCCATAAAATGCATTCCTTTCAATACTTTATCCAAGTACTAATAATAAAATAAATTCTAATTTACTCAGAAGTGTTCTCTTTTTCATTTTTCTATCTTTTTGCCCTTCTTTTCCCTTCAGGATCTAGTTCATATTTTGGGATTCGAAGGTAAAGATGTCAAGTCATCGAGGACTTAAGTTCATGATAAAACTATCAACATCTTGTTGAGCAAGAAGGAATTTTTCTAAGATGGTCCAATGAAAGAACGGATGAGCTTCTTTTTTAAAGCCATTCAGAGGTGAATGTCGGAGTTACGAAAACAAAATAAGCAAAGAAAGCTATCGGAAGAATGCCGATTCAAACAGGCCTAGTACGTGACTTGTTTAAAAACCGTAAAAGTGGAATCCTATTTGGTAGAAAGTATTTCAGGCGATATAACATCTAAAACTCTGATGAAGTGCCATGCTTCTATTACATATTTTTGTTGGTTTTTTTAGCAATCAACTGAGAATAAGTCAATACATGAGGAAATTGAAACATGTCTGATAATTTCAAAACTTATTTTTATTTCAAATTAAGAAGACTTCTACTCTCACACCTCTGTTTTCCTTCTTTCTTCATGTAGATGTACTTTGATGATGCACATTCTTCATGTACTCATGTTTTAAAGATGTACTTTCTTCATGTGTTCATCTAGACAGTATTTTATATAATGGACGCTTTACATTTAACCGCTTTTTACACCAAATTTAGTTACTTTCTTATTCAGTAATTTATTTTCATGACTGAGCATCAAATTTAGATATTCTTCTATCTCTTGAGCGACTCATTAAATAATTAATGTATTATCTTAACGAGGCGATTGAATATGTACATATTTTTCAGACAATGACCAACCCTATTCGTTAAACAATGACGGCCGAATGCTTCAGTTATTTAGCCTTCTCATTTCAGATAATGTTATTCAGGGTCAGGAGCGTCGTCTCAGCGCATGCCTATAAAAGAATAATTGTTTTCTGACTTATTTACATTTAAAATTCCTTATTATTAACGTTTTAATCGCCAGTCATGGGCTGAATCATGGATTTTAGAGTCAGAAATTCAAAACCAAACAAGTTGTGCGATGCCACGTCCTGTTTCCCTCTGCTAATTTCCCATTATAAGAGGAGAATACAATAATGGCGAATATATCGCATTCAGTTGATGAAATGCGGACAAAGAGGACTTAAACCAGAGCTTGAGAGAAATGCATACTGTCTCATTATAGCTTGCAAGGAGAGAATATTCATTCAGTACAATGAATTTAGCGCAATTTACGATTTTTTCCTTACTATAACTAGAGGCGATTTCCTTAATTTCCTGTTTCCTTAAGGTTTACATTGTACTATACATTTGATTTAAGGCTCGCTAATTCTTATTTCTGAACATCTTTCAAAGTTACATATAGCGAGTATTCTATTATTTATAGGACTAAGTAACTTTTTTAGAAATTTGTAGTGCAGATGAAGATAAAACTGAAATGCTTTTAAAGGACATATTTTAATATATATTTAGCTTTTGAAATTACTCTTAAAAGCAAAATATTAAAAATGATAAACCTTGTTCTTCTTTAACGGGCATGTACAGTAAATACAAAAATAAGAACAGAAGGCGTTCTCAGATGCTATAATGGGGGGAACTGCTTTTTAGTTTTATGATGCTAACGAAAGTCGTTTGCTTTGATCTTTACATTTATTTGATAGCGACAGAATAAGTGCTTAGACTAAGGATGAATTTTGCAGCTGAAATTTGCTAATAATATCCATTTTAAAACATGAAAATTCTCGCTTTTATATTAGAACAAGTTAGAGCTTTCCACCCATGAGCGATCTAGAAAAGAACTTCATTTGAATCAACAAATAAAACTATCTGCGAAGCTTTATAAAAGTGCAGTAATAAAAATAATGAAATTTTAAATCGAGCTATAAATTATAAAATTTCTTCGAATATAAAAAGCCGCCACTTAGAGATTTTGATTAACTGATGATACCACAAACGGGTAAACGTACATAAAACTGGTAAATCTGAATAAAAAAAGAGAATGAAAACAAAGTTGTGTTTGGATATTGCTTATTGTTTAAAATTACACAAACTGTAGTTCTAATGTTTATATGAATACCACTGAAAAGATGCAGCGCTTTCTCAGTTTGTTTCACTCAAAAAGCATAATCAACTAATGAACAATAGTAAATGGATTTTTTTCCTAATTAGAATAGAATGGAAACTAAAATATATAAAATCTGTGAAACATGAAAGATCCGATTCTTACTCTAAGTTTGAAAGCATGAGCTTATAACAATTTAAGAAATGGCTTTCTGGCTAATTAAAGTAGTTCTACCAATCATACACCCTCAGACGTTACCTTGAGCGAGCGAGGCTGAGACTAAAGGCGAGCTATCACCTTTAGGTTAAACTGATTGTGCAAACAACAGACACACAATGTGCTAAGTATTAACTTTATTTTCTCACCACTCCTGAGCTGACTTAAAATAATATAAATACAAAATCTAAGTCTGCTTGACTTACTATTTCTGGCTGGAATGTGCAGCACATTTACTCGCTTCAACAGCAAGACCTCCTACTCAGAGGTACAAATTTCAATTGGATCAGGCAACCTATTTTAATAAAGTACACAAAAAATCGCGTCGAATATGCGGCGTTCATTTTTAATCAAAAAGTGGGTTACGCCAGGCAAGGCAAACAGCGGTAGTAGCAGCCATGTTTCTGCTATAAATCGTGGCGGTTATGAGTTTTTCTCTCAGTTTAAACTACTTCCCTTACCATGAAAATCAGCATAACCCTTCGGACGGAGCGAATACGTGAGCAAACAAGGCATAAAGGAAAAACCAGAAAATGTATAATAACTGTTAGTTAAACTTAAATGTCATAAGCTTTCTAAATAAAGGGAATGTTTAGATAAAACCGGATTTTGAACAAGTATAAATAAACTTAACACTGTTACCTACTTCGAAATATTTGAATTGGTTGTTCTTTATTTTTAAGTAGAAAATGAACCTATACATGAATTAATACCATGTATCAACAGCAGCAGTATTTAAAACATTATGAGTGAAAAATTTACTTTGCCGATGTCAATAACAACTGTCCCAGTGGAACGATGTTTTCCACAACAAAGATAAATCAAAAAATGAATAATATAATTGGCTTATTGATTATATTTGTATATTATAATGCGGTCTTCATAAAATAAACAAAACTGATTTGTGACTACGATAAAACTTGTTTAAAAACCTTAATTAATTTTAAAATTTTACACATAATTTTACGTCAATCCTCAAAAGTGAAGAAATTTAGACTTCTATCATGTGTATTTCATTATTTTATATATGATATGCAATATTCAACATAGTACGCAAATAATACAGGGAATTTCGAAAACATACCTTAGTAATTCCCGCTTATTAATGTAACTTTTTTTAAAAATTTGGTGTTAGGCAGCATATTCTACGTAGGAATTCAGGGCACAGCGCTACTCAGTGTACAACAATGGGAAAACTGATACTGCACCCACGAAGAAGTGGAGAAACAAACAATTTTTATACGGAAATCGAGCTGGTATGCTCGGTTTCGGACTGTCAGTCAGCCTTCTTTAGCCACCAAGAATATCTAGGATGGCAAAAACTTAAATGTTGGGGAGGGATAAAAATTTCTGTACAGTATTCATGGCATACTTCAGTTCGGAAATACCTTTCCACTAATGAACTTATGAATGAACTTTCTACTGATGAACTTTCGTAAAACTGATGATTTGAATGTTGTTAAATATTGACCTAACAGCTTTATTCTCAGTTATTAATTTCTCATTTCTTTACATAAGAAATCTGAGAGAATTTAGAAGAGCCGCAAACCATAAATATTTATTAAATTTATATAACTGATAAATTATTTTTGCTAAAACGAATCATTTCTAAAAATTAGCTGCGTTATGGCAGTAATTAAAATAATTGAATTATGACGTAAATCTGAAAAATTTATTACTTGTTTAAAAGAGCTCATTCACTTTAGAAATTTTTAGATAGGTATAATACTGGGTAACATTTAAGTGTCGTACAAAAAATAAATAATCTATTCTTTTAAGTAAATTCTTTTCAAAAATTAGCTCCACTTAAATAGAAATTAAAATAACTGAATTATTACGTAAAACTTGGTTTGGTATAATTTATCTGATTATGGCAAAGATTTCGAGGGCCATTTGCCTAAGAGAAAAGATGCCTTCGCGGAGGACTTACAAAGGGAAACTGACTAATATACACCTTATACATGAGAAAATCGCGAAAACCCCCACGCAGCCAAACCGTTCGCCGAGTTTCAAACCCCGGACGGAACTACCAGTGTTCAGCGATTTTACCGCTCGGCCGCTGGTGGGATTTACGTAAAACTTGAAAATTAATTATTTTGTTTTATAAATGTCCTCATTTGTGAACATTCACAACTTAACTGTTGCGTATCATTCAAAACATACGCTACACAAAAAATTTCGTCGTATAGAAGCTTTAATTTTCATTTCTATGATATGTATTCGCATCCTAATTAATTGACTGTATAATGTTCTCACTACATTAACTGCCTACTTCTACAGCTGTGAAGACAGACAAATGACTCACCGTCCACTCTTACCTGCTAAGTACAGTAAACATACACTCAGATGAAGGTTGAAATAAACATGAATATTTACACGTCAGCTTGAGGATTATTCAGACTATTTAAAAACAGAAGCAAGTAGCAGAAACATAAATTCTGCTATTTGTGGGAAAACGTAGAATAGATGTCCACTCAAACTAAAATATTAAATACAAAAAAGTAAAACGAGCCTACTAAGCTTTTTATTCGGCTCTCAGTGTTTCACAAAACAATGGCGATTAGCGAAACTAACGCCGATAGAATAATTCAGTAACAGGGAGATGTAGACGATAACCACCAAAATCTCTTCCAAACTCTGCGCTCATATATATATCAACTAATTTTCATCATGGGAGAAGTGGACGAAAGTAAAAGTAATAGGCGAAATAATAAGACAACCGTGTTAATTAACATCAAACTGTACAATTATACAAAGGGAAAACGGTTTCATATTTTGTGAAGCAACACTCAGAATTTTTATCAACAGTACACATATTGTAAAGGAACTGATCTTAAAATCAATAGAGAATAGTAAGAAAAATAAAATGCCACACATTTTTCTTCGTGAAGAATAAAATGTGTCATCGGGCGCATTTTTCTAAAATTGGAATCCTAATTTCATACTTACATTTAATTTTACTTCAGCATTTTTTCAGTATTTTTAAATGGCATTTCAATGATTTTCTTCATCAAATTTCAATTTTTACTTTAAACATCCGCCTGTAAGTACCTATCAGATATTGCCAATAAATAGATACCATCTTATATGTAATTGCTTTACGATTTAAAATTCTGCTCAGAGAGTTCCCATCATGTAAAATATGGGTGCATACCTAAAAGAAATATGAAGGGGTCCACTAAACCGGGATAGTGGTTAGTGATGCTGAATACCGTACCGAAGGACCCGGATTCGAATCCCGGAGGAATGTTTGTAAATGCAGAGTGTCTGTGGGACATTGAGGCACTCTAAATAGGCGGCCAGCCGAAAGTCCTTTCGATAGGTTGGTGTAGGGAAAGAGAGTGGAAGCCCCTAGCACCCGTCCCCCCGTTGTGCTCTCAATCAAAACTGGAGCTGAACTGAGCAAAGTCATACT